GGCCAATAAACTCCCCAGCATCTCAACGACTTTTTCTTTTAATAACCTACGTTCCTCTTCTGCGCTCTACAGTCACCAAACTCCTGATGACAGCTCCGTCTTAGAATTACCTAACGAAGTGAACTGTTTACCAATACTTGAGTGGGCAGACAGGTGCACACCTGAATTCCTTCACAGGTTCTGCCAAGACATCTCTGGTGCATTCCAGCAGCCAGTTCACCCTTAACTGCCACACACTCTCTAGGCAACCTTCCTGACATCCTGATCCCCGGGCGGACACAGGCAACAAGAACATTGCCCGCTACCAAACGGAAACACCAATGCCACAGTAGAGCTCTCTCGCTGGTTCTGCCAATTCACCAAGCCTATTTGCATCCAATTTCATCCTGCACCAGTTCCTTTCTCTTGATTAAGCCTAGCCCGCCACACTCTGGATCCCAACCCCAAACGTCCTGAAATCCATGGTCATTTTCCGCCAGCTGATATGTGGAGCTTTTGGTCCCAATACCCCTTCCCTGATGGATGATACCGCCTCTGTGTTCTTCCTTCCTCTCCAGCTCTTTCTCCTGGCAGTCTTCTGTGCCAGCTCCTATTGGGCTAGGGGATTTCTACCATGTAGTATTCTTCTTGGATCCAGCCTGGAAACCTGCTCATCCTCTTCTAAAATGACTCTACCTCTGGCATCGCTCAGTGACCACCTCTCTGCTCATCAACTTCAAAGCTCTACTAGATCCAGAATGCCAACTGCCAATTCAACCTCTCTCCTTAACTCAGGATCTCATCCCTCCACAAATACAACTTAGCATATCTGAAAAGGAATGAACAGTCTTCCCCTCTAAATCAACATTTCCTTTCTTTCTCAGTGGTTCCTATCCCAATAAGTGAAGCAATGTATTGATCCTCAAGATATGAACCAGGGAAATCATCTGAAAACATATTCTCCATCATTTTTTATTACAAATGTATTCTAGAATGGGCATGGCACATAATTACAATCTCAGATACTCAGGAGGTGGAGACAAAAGTTTGTGGTTAGAGGCCACCCTGGGCAAAAGTTAGCAAGACATTATCTCAAGAACAAATGAGGCTGGGCTGGGAAGGTGGCTCAGTGGTAGAGCGCTTGCCTTGCATGCATGAGGCCCTGGGTTTGATTCCTCAGCACCACATAAGCAAAAGAAAAAAGCCGGAAGTAGTGCTGTGGCTCAAGTGGTAGAGCGCTAGCCTTGAGCTGAAGAGCTGAGGGACAGCGCTCAGGCCCAGAGTTCAGGCCCCACGACCGGACCGAAAAAAAAAAAAAAAGAACAAGTGAGGCATGGTATCACATGTCAGTAGTTCCACTACTCTGGACGCAGATGTAAAAGTGCCAGGGTTCAAGGTCAAGCTGATCAAAGGTAACACAAAACTCTAGGGGGAAAAAAACTAAAAGAAAGACTCCAGATGCTGGGTGCCCGTGGCTCATGCCTGCAATCCTAGCTACAACTGTGATCTGAGGAACGCAGTTCAAAGCTAGGCCAGGCAGGAAAGTCTCCAATAAATCACTCAGCGGGAAGTGGCGCTGTGGCTCAAGTGGTAGAGTACTAATCTTGAGCACAAAGAGGCATGGAACAGCACCCAGACCCTGAGTTTAAGCCCCAGGACCAGCAAAAAGAAAAAAGACTACAGAAGTAGCTCAAGTGGCCCTGAGATTAATCCCTGGTGCCAATATTGATTATAACAAATAAAATTGTGACTAATTAAGCAGGACAGGGTTCTGGGATATTGGGGCTTGAATTTAGGACCTTGAGCTCATTTGACTTTTTAGCTCAAGGCTAGCATTCGATCACTTGAGCCACACCTCCATTTCCAGCTTGTTCCTAGTTAAATAGAGATAAGAGTTTCTGGGGCTTTTGCCCAGGGCTGGCCTCTAACCATGTTTCTCAGATCTCAACCTTCTGAGTAGCTGGGCTTACAGACATATGTCACTAGTGCAGAGCTAGTCTGACATGTTTTTTGTTCTGGTCTGTGTAGATCCCTGCGTAGATCCCTGTCTACCCTGTACATGAACTTCCTTTGTATCATACCACTACTGAAAGAATGACTATGCTTACCACTCTTTCCATGTAGCTAAGTCCTTCCTGCTCACTATAGCCTAACACCTGCTTTGGCTCCTTGCTCTGTCCTAAGCAATTTCCAGTCCTCTCACACCACTCACCATGTACTGCCTTGCATCGTGATATACTGTCTGCATATGTCACATCTTCCACAGACAACATAAGTTCTACAAGACAGAAAAAATATTTATAAACATATTTTCCAAACTATAAGTGCTAGAAAACACTTGTGTATTTATCTTAGTACTGATTTTAAATTCCCCAATGTACTTGCCTATGAACAAAATTAAGAGCATAGTAGACTATATCCAAGTTTCCAAATAAATTTCTACATGTCATTACTACTTGTATCATAAATTCAAAATGATCAGTTGCTAAAAAGACTGAAATACAGTCATAATCCATCCTTCACTTACTAAAAGACTAGGAGGAAAATCATTTCCTCTGACCCCTCTTCTTTCCTCTCCTCATTCATTGTAAAATACAATAGGCATGGGTCAGAAACAGCAGTACCAGGTTCTATATCCCAACTACTAGATGCAAGTAGAAGGATACTGATTCAAGGCCAGCTTGGGCAAAGGTAGTGTAGACCCTATCTGAAAAAATAAATAACCAAAAAGCAAAGGGACTCAAAGGGCAAACACAACGCCCTGAATTCAATTCCCTATGTATATCAAATAAGGTAGACAGAAATCAAACATAAAACCACAGTGAAGCCGGCATTGTAGCTCACACCCGTAAACGTAGCTACTCAGGAGGCTGAGATCTGAAGATTACAATTCAAAGCCAGTCCAGGCAGGAAAATCCATGAGATTCCTATCAAAAAGCCAAAAGTGGAGTTGTGGCTCAAGGGTAGAGCACTAGTCTTGAGTATAAATGCTCAGGGACAGCACACAGGCTCTGAGTTCAAGCCCCAGGACCAGCACCAAAAACAGTAACATTAGCATTCAAATTCAAATATAACTGTATAGTTTTATTAATACAGCAGTTTACTTTTATCTTCAGCACTTCCCATAGTAGAGTTTTGTAAACAGACTTTCCAAATACTTGAACTTTTAGCAAAATACTATTCAAAAAAAGCTCATTAAGTGAAAAATATAATATAGAAATATCTTTCTAAAATCTTTTTAACTCAAAATCTATGAATAGTCTAGATTTTCAAATGAGTCACAAAATAATTTCAGATTACTGAGCTTTAGCAATTATAAGTTTAGTAAATAGTAGATGCCAAATAATGTGATTAATAGATTATTACTCATTTCTGCACTGTTAGGATTAAATGTGGAGTCCACAAGTTTACTAGTTGCCAAACGAATCAAAGCCACTTATAATTTCTAAGGCCAACAGGTCCTTCTGGGCTTATTTTCCAATACATCTCTTACAAAGCCCCTCCTCCTCAGGTTTTCCCAAATAGCATAGCAAGTGGTAACATTCAACTTCTCCTCTGTCTCCAAGTCTCTCAAATGCCACCTCCTCTACAGAGCCCTTCCAGATTCCCTTTGGGAAGTAATCCCCTGCTTAGCTGTTACCTACTTTTTTCCCAGTACTCACCAGACACTGCCTCCTATGACCGTCATGGGTGCACAAGGCTAGCTCCTCCACTAACTAGTTCATTACTTCTTGAAAACATGGATTGGTTTGCAATTATTTATGTGTCCTTCACAGTCTCTGGCCGAGTAGGTAGTCAATAAATTGTATTGTCTCATCGATGCAACACAGCCTGCAGAACTCAAGTAGCTCAAAACTTCACACACGAACTTTTCTTAAACACAATATCCCCAACACTGCAAGAAGTAAAAAAATAAAACAACATAAAAGTAATGTAGCAAACACAAGGAAAGAGGTTTGTGTGTTCAGGGCCTAAGGGAACACAAAGAGCTTCAGCATTCTGAAGCTAGGGGCGAACAGCAGTTAGGGTAATTAAGATTCTTTGATAATGTGTAATAATTTAACACTCGCTAGCAGACCGTCCTGGATGGTTCTTTTAGAAAGCCTGATCATGATATTCACAGTCAGAGTCAGATGTGGAGGCAATCTACATCTGTGTTGTAGATACAATCTGTAATCCAAAAGTCAAGGGACAGCACACTGGCTACTGGCAAAGTAAATGATTTCTGTCTCTACCCGTTCCTAGGTTGCTATTTTGAAAGCAGAAAAGAAGAAACTGCGTTGCAAAGTGTGACTGTGCTTTTACCGAGAGCCCCTTCCTCCCGGGTGGCTCTGCATCCCCGCCACCTTCGCCAGATGATCCGTGACTTCGAGTTTACATCTCCCGCCAGCCTGTGGCCCCCACGAGGCAAGCGCTGAGCTCCCGGTCCCGCTCCTTTCCAGGCCCCTGGTGACCCCAGGACTGGGTCACCGCGTGCGCCCCACAAATGAATGGAAAGCATCGTTTTCCACGGCTACTTCTCCGCGGGATCCAGGCCCGGGGGTCTCTCGTTTGCCCTCCGCTGTAGATCTGAACAAGGAGCTGCAGGATCCCAACTCCCGGACGCCCCAGCCCTGTGCCCAGAGCTCCAGCCCTGCTGAAATCCGGACACCGGGACACACTCAACCCGGCCAACACCTGCCAAGTGCCCCGTTTACCTACCAAAGAGCCGCGCGGTCACCATCGGGGCGAAGCCCGGCTGCGATCGCGACCGCCAAGACAGTGGCGCCGCCCGCGCCTCCGGAACAGGAAACCGAGGGAATTATGAAGCGAACCTGAGAAAGCTGGGCCCAGGGAGGGGGAAAAAAAAAACCTCTTGAGCACCCGCAGCGCCTAGTGCACGATGATTGGTGCGTCGACGAGAGCGATGGACATTTAGACCAATCGTTCGCCGAGGAACTTCTGACGCCCGCCCCCTCCCTTACGCTGACATCTTCCAATCCGGAAGCGCAACCGGGTGAGCGCGCATTTCCGCCGGGAGAAGGCGGCGGGCCGCGGCCTGAGCCTCCTGGGGTCCGCGCTGGGCGCCGCCGGCACCCGGCCCAGCCGACCGGCGGGCGCCCAGACATGAGTGACTCCGCGGGAGAGGGCGCTCGCCTCCGGCGCTATCCCGAGCTCCCGGTTTGGGTGGTGGAGGATCACCAGGAGGTGAGCGGGCTTCTCCCCGGGGCCGAATCCCCCGGAGTCCGGGAGGTGGAGGACGTCGGTGGCAGAGCGCTTGCCTAGCGCGCTGCAGTCCTGGGTTCGATTCCTAGTACCCCAAAAAACCTCTTGTCTGCGGGGCTCAGGGTCCTGGACCCTCCCCGCCCCGCCCCCCGGCATCTCTGTCCTCAGCTCCCGGCAGCGGCCATAGGGACAAGAACCCCAGAACACACCGTCTTCCCATCTTTTGACAAGGAGCCCGACGTTTATGAACCGTGAAAGGGGGTTGTGGCTGCTTCATAGCAGGGCAGTTGGTCCTTCGTCTAGACTTCTGGATGCCAAGAAGGGAGACCCATGGACCTAAGAAATTGGTTTAAAAGTAGGGTGAATAAGCCATGTAAAAGAGGAAGATGACCAGGAAAAAAAAAGAAGAGAGAGAGGGAAAGAAGAAGGAAGGAAGGAAGGAATCCAGGGAGCCTTGAACATGCAGCTAGTCATGGGCCTTGACTAGGTGTTCTTAGTCCTGATCCATTTTCTTGCACAGTAGAATTCGGTATTTTCCACTTTACAATTTAGCATGCATCATATATGTGCGGTTTTACTTAACATTATATATTTGGAATATTTGTTCGTGGTTTCGGCACCACATCTGAATGTGTGTCTGTCTCTTACAGGTTCTGCCTTTTATATACCGAGCCATAGGCTCAAAGCATCTTCCTGCAAGTAATATAAGATTTTTACATTTTGACTCACATCCAGACCTTCTTATTCCTGTGAATATGCCAGCAGACACGGTATTTGATAAGGAAACACTCTTTGGGTAATGTGATTTTGTTGCTGTTGTTAGCAGTTTTTCATATATTTAAAATACAACATATAGTAGAATAATTAAGGGAATTAAACTTGCTAAGCTCATGGGTTTATGTTTTCCTTCCTGATTTTATTTAGAGCAATATTGACAAACTCTTTCTTTGGGCTACATAGGAACCAGCCATGGTGGCTCATAGCTGTAATTCTAGCACTCAGGATGGTGGAGCGGGAAAATCTCAAATTTGAAGTCAACCTGGGCTACATAGTGAGGTCAAGGCCATTTCGTATTGCCGTATGACCACATATTAAAAACCTTTTTCAAGGGAAGGTTAAAATAAATCCAGACAGTAAACATGGTACGGTTTTCTGGCCATATATCTGAGTTCCAACAAAACAAGAAAAACAGTAACATCTGTGTTGCTGACCTCTAACTTAGAATGTAGAATTTTAGAAGAAACTTCAAAACTAATCTGACAGTCAAGCTCATGCCTGTAATATTAGCTACTCAGAAGGTGACAGCTATGGCAGAAAAGTCTACTAGACTCTCATCTCTAAAATAGCCACCATAGCAGGGCTGGAGGATGGCTGAAGTGGTAGAGCACCAGCCTAACAAATTTGAGGCCCTGAATTGAAACCCCAGTACTGTGTAATCTAAATAAGTTCTTCCTTGCTCTTTCCTTTAAATCTGAAATGAAAGTGGAAAAAAAGATGCTAAGCACAGTTGTATTAGCAACACATCCCTAATTTGTATATTTTTCTTTTCAGTATGGAGTCCTGCCTCAGTTCCTCTTCAGGGCCAAACTCCTGTTGATTTACAGTTTTATAGAATCAAAATGAATCATTCATCATCTGTCCTCTAGGAAAGATTGTAACTAATAGAGTTCTACATAACAACATCCTGCTGCTTTTCTGCAATGAAGTTCCCTGAAACTGTCACTGTCACTCTTCTATACAGACAGTGTTATTAGATTAATTGTAATCTATTGCATTTCTTTTTCCAAAACCTCCAACTGAATTGGAGGTTCTTAATCATTAATTAATTAATTCCTAAAGAAATGTGACTGCTCTGCCATTGTCCTACTCTTCTATATTGAGACTTTCTGTATTTTAGAAGTTAAAAAGGAATGTAAAGTATGAGAGGAGGAGATTGCTTAGGAAAGATGGGAGAAATTATGAAAGTGGTGACATTGATTAAGATGCATTGTACTTAGAGAAACTGATTTGAATGGTAACCCCTTTGTGCAGCTACTTAAACATAATGAAAATATTTAAAATACTGTAAAGGACATATTTATTAAAATACTGTAATTGGTCCTTGAATAATGGTTCTTAAATTTTTTAGCCTCATGATTCCTTTGTAATCTTTTTTTTTTTCCCCAGTCCTGGGGCTTGAACTCAGGGTCTGGGCACTGTCCCTGAGCTTCTTTTGCTCAAGGTTAGCACTCTACCACTTCAACCACCGCACTACCTCTGGCTTTTTCTGTTTATGTGGTACTGAGGAATTGAACCCAGGGCTTCATGCATGCTAACAAGCACTCTACCACCAAGCCTCATTCCCAGCCTCCTTTATAATCTTAAAATTCAAGTTGATGCTTAATATAGGTTATATTGTCTTTGTTATATGGAATTAAAGTAATAATTGTTTAAAATATTGTAAAAAGAAAAGGAATATAAGGAAAATGATACTGCAAAGATAATACATTGCAAAACAAACTAGTGGGAAGAATAGCATTGCTTATTGCAAATACCTTTGTTATATGGGAGACAACTTGGTTCTCCTAGCCATATCCAATATGTTGATTATGTTGTTTTGGTTGATGTATATGATGAAAATTCAAGCTCTTATAACTTAAGATTGGAAATGGAAAGAGTGTTGTCATAGCCTTTTCAGATAACTGAATATGATTTGATCCTATACCAACACTTAACAAGTGATAGTTTCTTCAATAAGTTTAGTTGAAATATGAAATCCAACAATTCAACTTTAAGTCTAAATAACTATAATATATTGGTCACTATTCCTTACAAGAAAGTGATGCTCAGCTCAAGTCAGTCACACATGCCTTTCCTTGAACTGCCTTTTTGTTCATGGTGCACAGCAGAAGTGCTTTCTGTACATTTCTTTTTTTTGTGACAGAAAATGTGTTTAAGTGTATATTTAGAATCAAGAATGAATACATTAAGGAAATTCTGCAGTGAAACTTTTTTTTTTTTGCCTAGTGTTTCTCAGTGAAGCATAAAATGACTCCCGTGGGGTTGGTGCTGCCTAGGACATGAGCCCACCAGTGTTTTTCTACAGTTAGTACAAATACTAACACAGTGGAGAGAAAATGACATCTTCATGAAAATAGTATTAACCTAGTGATTACTCTGTGAAAAGGTCTCAGAAACCTCCTCAAGTAGATGAAAGGATATTGGGGAGGAAGGGGAAGCACTCTCTAATAATTCTGATGTTTCTTCTCTTTCTTTTGCAGAGAGTTAAGTATTGAAAATTGGATTATGCCTGCCGTTTATGCTGGCCATTTTTCTCATGTAATATGGTTTCATCCCACATGGGCTCAGCAAATGGCAGAAGGCAAACACCACTTTTTAGTAGGGAAAGACATTTCTACCACAACAATCAGGTAATTTCCTCGTAGTTAAGTATGAAAAGGGCTGAATACGTTTATCTTTGGGCTCCTGTAACATTGTAAATATCCCTGTATACAAATAAGGTCAGATTAAAACCTCACTCCTTTAAAATGGGTTCTTGAAACACCAGAACACATTTTCAGCTCTTGACCTCTTTCATTTATATTTTGTTTCTGGTTAATTGTTTTTTTTTAGTAATATAATCTTCATCTTCTGGAAATTAGACTCCATTAAATTTTTTATGTAAAAATATTGTACAGAGGGGTTGCAGTTAATGAGTAAGGGAATGAGTACATTTCCTATTGAACATTGTTACCCCTCCTTTGTTTTTCCCCAACTATCCCTACCATCCTCCCTACCTCCCCAACTCCTCTCCAACTCCCCCACCCCAAGTTGGGAGTACTTAACCCAAGTTATTATCAAATCCTCTGAATCCTCTGAGTGAACTGGTGGCTCACTCCTGTGATCCTAGCAACTCTGGAAGCTGAGATCTAAGTATCATAGTTCAAAGCCAGAGCCAGCCTGGGCTGAAAAGTCCCTAAGACTCTTATTTCCAATTACCAACCAAAAAAATAAAATAAGATAACAGAAGTAGACTTGTGGCTACAATGATGCTATGCTAGCCTTGAGTCAAAAAGCTAAGGGACAATACCTAGGCCTTGAGTTCAACACCCATTACTGGCACAAAAGCAAACAAAAAATCCTCTGTCTTAAGTTACATGTACATCTGTTTTTGTTGTATATTTAGCCAGTATTCTCTGTGCTTGTAATACTGAAGTGTCTTTAGAAATACCTATTGTTAACTTTCCAGATTCTCTTGTATAGGATAAATTGCGGGGTTGGGGGAAGGGGGCGGGGGGACATGCTAGTCCTGGAGCTTGAAGTCAGGGCCTAGGCACTGTCCCTGAGCATTTTTCCTCAAGGCTAGTGCTCTACCACTTGAACTACAGCTCCACTTCTGGCTTTTTTAGTAGTTTATTAGAGATAAGAGTCTCACAAACTTTCCTGCCCAGGCTGGCTTCAAACCACAAATCCTCAGTTCTTAGCCTTTTGAGTAGCTAAGGTTCTAGGAATAAGCCCTGGCACCCAGTTGGGATGAATTTCTTTTAATTTTTTTGGGTCCGGTCGTGGGGCCTGAACTCGGCCTGGGCACTGTCTCTCAGCTCTTCTGCTCAAGGCTAGTGCTCACGCCACTTCCGGCATTTTTTTCTTTTTGCTTATGGGGTGCTGAGGAATCGAACCCAGGGCCTCATGCATGCAAGGCAAGCGCTCTACCACTGAGCCACCTTCCCAGCCTCTGGGATGAATATTTTAAGCAGTGTAGCCACAGCTTTCTAGAACCTAAAGGATAATGGGATAAGATTAGAATACATTGAAAATAAAATAAAATAGTCTCTCACTGAAAATAATGTTTTATTTGTGATTTAATTTTAATAATTCTCTAAACTTTGGTAGTATAGTTAACTTCATTTGCACAAATATCTTTCTTTTGTATATGAACATTGTATTTCTTTATTAAATAATTTGAAAGGAGTAATTAGAATCCAACATATAATAATTGTTGTACATAACACTGGTCTCTATGAAAGAGTGGATTTGAGTACTTAAATGAGAAGGCTTAATTTAACCTGCAAAGTCATATAATTTTGTATGATCTAACACAGACATTTGAAACTCAATTTGTGGTGAAGAGATTTTTATTTTCTCATGCTTTTAGTTAACCCTTCAAGTAAAAATTTATGGGGGAGACACAGTGAATTTAGACAGGCAGTCTGAGATTATGTGTGTGCTTATAATAAGTAAGAACATGATAAACCTTCCATTATTAAAAAATATAAATTTAGGGCTGCAGTGTGGCTCAGTTGGTAGGTAGAGTACCTGCCTAGTTATTGTGAGGCCTTGGACATAAAACCCCAGTATAGCCAAAAGAGAGAGAGAAAGAAGAACAAAGGTAACAAGAGAGGTAGTGAGGGAAGTAAAAGGCAAGGAGGGAGGGAGAGAGGGAGGGAAGAAAAAAGGGAAGGAAGGAAGGAAGGAAGTTAATACATGTAGGTAGAAGATACAGTCTTTGTCTCTTTCAGATTGCACAGATTTTAATAAGCTTACACATTATTTTCATTATGTCATTAATCTTTTGGGGAAGTATCTGATGTACTGTTATTAAGTGCTTAGCAAAGCATAATACAGTTGAAAAACTGAGAACATTCTAATAAGTCTAGAGTCAGATCCAGGCTGGGTGTGGTCAAGCCCCAGAAGTTGAAGGCCTACATGTGCTAGTGACACCCTATCTCTTAAAAAAAAAGAAAGAAATCTACAACTTACAAAATGCCCCCTACAAGTGTATGGATATTTTTAAGTTGCTGCCCATGTTAAAAATTGTGGTTATATGCTTCAACAATCCTTTGAACTATGTCAGAGGAACATCTATTAAAGAAAATTTATTTCTAGTTGTACTTGATTTTTTTTTTAATAAAGTATCAGTTGGGAGAAACCAAAGCCCAGACTTGGCCCAAACAAGACAATTGCTTTCTTTCTGATATTTGAGATCATTCCCAAACAGTCCAGGCCTGTGTGGCAGATCTACAAAGGGAAATAGGGCATCCTAGGGTTTATGTTCTTCCGTCTCTAAAGTCCACATCCAGGGTAACTTGCTACTATCCATACTTTCATGTCAGTGAGCAGAGATGGGGGAAGAGGGCTCCTGCCCTGCCCTGCCCTGCCCTGCCCTGCCCTGCCCTGCCCTACCCAGCCCAGCCACTGAGCCAGCCAGCACTTACTCAAGTAGCCAGATCTGACAAATGCTGTTTACAGAATAGGAAGTCCCAACTGTTAAAGACAGTTTTGTCAGGTAAGTTGTTTTCTTAGCTTTCAGCAGTGCCATAATGAAATGCCAGCTTCCTTAAAGCAGTTTTTTCTTCTGTTCCAGGGTTACGAGTACAGATCATTACTTCCTAAGTGACGGACTCTATGTCCCTGAAGACCAGCTAGAGAACCACAGGCCATTACAGCTGGATGTGATTATGGTGAAACCTGATAGACTCTGTAACAACCATGGTGGAAAGGCTGCAGAATCTTCTGCCAAGAAGCCCAAGCTAGCCCTGGAAGACACAGAGAATGCTGCCTCTTCAGACCGCGATTGTCAGTCAGAAGAGCCAGGAAAGGACACAGCAACACAGAACGGCCAGTCTAGTCAAGAGCCGTCGTGTTCATGTGTTTCTGAAAGTCAGCATTGCCAAAGTACAGCGAGCACAGGGGACATCCTGCAGATCCTACAGCAAGGAGATGCTTTTGTTTTAGATATTGACTTAGACTTTTTTTCTGTCAAGAATCCCTTCAAAGAAATGTTTACTCAGGTAAATAAGGGAAGGGACTTTGAAAGCAGGGAGCTTGAGAATTATATGGCATTTTTCTAGATGAGAGCTAGCAAGCTTTCTGCAAATAGTCTGAGAGTTACTTGCTTTAGGTTTTAGAAGCCACATTCTATCACATTTTCTCCTTTAAGAAAAAATTAGCTCGTACCTATAATCCTAGCTACTCAGAAGGCTGATATCTGAGGCTCAAGGTTCAAAGCCAGCTCAAGCAGAGACTCACCAATTAATGACCCCATGGCAATAGCTATAAGTGAAGGTATCTCAATGGTATGGTGCCAGCCTTGAGTAAAAAAGCTAATGGTAGTGCCCAGGCCTGGCACAAAAAAGAAAGAAAAAATTAATATTCAGGCTAAGCTTTCCTACTCCAGAAAAAATCCAAAATCTAAAATTGCTCCAAAATCCAAATTTAGGGACTCCATAAAATGTACCAGTAAAGTCTACAAAGATTCCCAAGTCTAGAAAATTCCCAAATCTGATGTTTTTCTAGTTCTAAGCATTTTAAAGGATACTTTACTTATAATTTAATAGCTATATTTTTAATGTTATAAAAATATAATAATTAAATTCTCCTCGTTCCATCTATTGCTTATTAGCTTTATAATCTTGGGAAAGTTACTTAACCTTTCTGATCTGCAGTTTCTTCACATAAAGTGAGAATGATCATCATAGCCAGCAGACTGGGACTATACCACTGTTTTATAACACTTTGCCTAGCATGCAATCAATCCCCAACACTGTAATATTAGTCACTTAGTTAATCAAACCCATCCTTTGGGATGGTTTTGATCATAAAGCACTGAGGACAGCGCCACATCATTATAAGTAATAAATTTTAGCTCTAGTCAACTGGGAATGTGGCTTAGTGGTAGAGTGCTTGCCTAGCATGCATGAAGCCCTGGGTTCAATTCCTTAGTACCACATACACAGAAAAGGCTGGAAGTAGTGCTGTGGCTAAAGTGGTAGAGTGCTAGCCTTGAGCAGAGAGGCTCAGGGATAGCGCCCAGGCCTGAGTTCAAGCCCCAGGACTAGGGGAAAAAAAAGTATATATATATATATATACATAATATATATATGTATATATACATTATATATATATGTATATAATGTATATATAATATGCATATACATCATATATATACATATATATATTTATATAGCTCTTGGGAATAACTTTTTCCTGGCAGAAGTCTTAGTAAGAGTATTGGGGCCAAATGCATCCATTGTATAATGGATTCACCTATGTTCCTAGAGTCTAGGGATAGCATCTTTCTCCTGCATGGAGTCTCATCCAAGTTCTGTGTCTGTCAGTCTGCCTCCAGGATTGCCTTTGTGCTCCAGAGTTCTATTTCTAGAGAATTGGCTGTACAGTGAACTTGGAGTTTACTGTTCTCCTCAAAGACATGTATATCTCCGAGAAACGGCTAAAATCTATTTAGAGCCATTTATATAATGAGATATTATTAGCAGTACTTTCATCTCACACTCCTTTAGCCAGCTAGTCTTCTTCCATACCTGATTTTCATATTTTATTGATATGTCCAGATAGACAGACTTGCCCTAAGGAAAATAATCTTCATAATGAAAATCTGAACATTTTGCCTGATTCTCCCAGACAGATCTGAATATCGGCTAAGATATTTTCTGTCAAAGGTGGATCACTGAAGAACATCAACCTTAGGATTGTGCATTTTATTTTACAGGAGGAGCACAAAATATTACAAGAACTTTACCAGTTTCAAAGGCCTGGGAATAACCCCACTAAGGTTTGCATTGTTTCCTCGGGGTTTATCTGCATCTCACATATTCAAAAAATGTTGCAAGTGGCGCTGTGGCTCAAGTGGTAGAGCACTTGCCTTGAGCTGAAGAGCTGAGGGACAGCGCCCAGGCCCAGAGTTCAGGCCCCACGACCTACCAAAAAAAAAAAAAATCTTACAGCTAAAAAAAATCTTATAGCTTATTAGAGTGAATCGCAAAGAACTATCTAAATTGTGTGTGTGTGTGTGTGTGTGTGTGTGTGTGTGTATGTGTGTATGTGCACACTTATATTTATTGGGAAAGCCCACAATTGGCACATGGAATCATTTTTATAGGATTAATTAAACCATAATAACAGGATTTCACTTGCTTTTAGAAAGGATATTATCTCTATTTCAATGTTTTTGAAGGATGATTTAGCAGATATTGTTGATACTCGAATTCATCAATTAGAAGATTTAGAAGCAGCTTTTGCTGATTTGTGTGATGGTGATGATGAAGAAACTGTCCGAAGATGGGCTTCAAACCCTGGGTAAGACCACCCCCCAGACTTTTCTCCCTTCATCCTAAATATATAACCAAATTTGTTGGATAAATTGCTTTGAAATAAACAGTATTGGGGGCTGGGAAGGTGGCTCAGGGGTAGAGCGCTTGCCTTGCATGCCTGAGGCCCTGGGTTCGATTCCTCAGCACCACATAAGCAAAAAGAAAAAAGCCGGAAGTGGCGCTGTGGCTCAAGTGACAGAGCACTAGCCTTGAGCTGAAGAGCTGAGGGACAGCGCCCAGGCCCAGAGTTCAGGCCCCACAACTGGACCCCAAAAAAAAAAAAAAACAGTATTAATTTTAATGTTCCATTTTCCAACAGTAGTATTTATTGAGTGTTTTTTTTAAGTGTTATAAATTTCCCATTCATAGATTCTTTATAGCCATCTATTGTTTTATTGTAGTTATGTCCATTCTATAGATGAGGGAACCAAGGCCCAGAGTTTAATAAGCTGCCAAGAGTCTCATCATGAAGGGTATGCCTTAGTTATTGTGCAATTGCTTCCCTACTAGATCAATTCTTGGGCTATCCCTGTACTAAGTAGAATAAGAAAAAAAATTAACCTAGTAATAAGTAAATTATAATATGAAAACATGCCTCCTTTCTAAGAATAGCTCAATGAAGAAATGATAAGTACCTTGATCACAGAGTAACGAATGTATATATAGCAAAGTACTACATTGTGTTTTGTGAATGTGTACAATGACTAAATATCAACTATGAAATTGTACAACTATTATGTATCATTTTTTAAACAATGCTTATGAGTAGAAGAGTTTGTTTTCAATCTGATTATTACATATGAAATCAGGATTTAAAGGCCAGAATCTTCATCAGTTCATTTATTTGTCCAATTCTCACATTGTTAATATTAACTTTAAAGTATGAAAAAAGTCCTGTAGCAGTGAAAGCCCAAAATTTGTCACTGAGCTTGGCATAAAAGAATATTGGTTAACTCCCAGAGCTACTTTGTTCTATATAATTCTTTAAGTCAGGTAAACTCGAAAAGCTGGAAACTGAAAGTCATCATTACATTCTCATGTTTATAGAAGACCTGAAGTAGCTCTTTATAAAACTCTAAGGCTGTTTTCACTATAGTATAAATGTGACAGTCAGTTACGAGACAGCAACATTCAATGGAAAGCTGGAATCCTAGGACTTCAGAAGAACCTGATCAGTCATCAAGAGTTTTCATGGGATGATTACTGAAGGTATTGGCTCTGCGAAGAAGTACAGGAATAGGGACAGTGGTTGCCTCTTGAGAGAGGAATCATAGTTTGAAGATTATATGACATGTATTAACAAGAAAGAACTCATTTTGCTAGATACCTATTCAAAATATTCATTGTAGCTTTTACTTAAAAGATTGTGCCATATGCTAGTTATTGTTCATACCTATAATCCTAACTACCCTCAGGAGGCTGAGATCTGTGGATCACGGTTTTAAACCAACCAGGGCAGGAAAGTTCATGAGACCCTATTTCCAGTTGACCACCAAAAATGGAAATAGAGCTGTGGCTTAAATGGTAGAGCATTAGGCTTGAGCAGAAAAGCTCAGGGACAACACCCAGGCCCTGCGTTCAAGCCCCAGGACTGGCACACACACACACACACACACAAAATAAGCTTTTTTTAAAGTAATATATTCAGAAGCAGTCCTGAAATGCAAAAATCATAAAGCCTTAATTATTGTCATTAAAGCAGTGACATAGAAGAATAATTCATCATAGTCTAACCACCTCAATAAATACTAGTCAGTTAATACTTTATCTCTTCAGCATAAGGAACTAGTTCTAAAAATAATGTCTAATTTCTTGAAATTATGATGAAAGAGAAATAAGTCACAAGACATAAGCCCTTCTCGAAATGCTGAAAAGTACCCACTATTTTGTGATTTTTGTGAGGTCTCAAACCAAGCTTAAGTCCTGAGCGACAGCAGCAAAGCTAAGCATGGAAACCTAAGACTGCTTCTTCAATCCAGCCTGTGGACAGTGGCACGTTCTCTGAGCTGCACCGTGCCTGCCGCACAGCCCAGGTGGCACTCCCAGCCCCGCAGGAAGCTCCACAGCAGACTTGAGGGCTCAACAAAACTGCACAGTGGAAGATCAGATGGGAGCTGACATTGGAAGGAGAAAAAAAATAACTAAAAACTTTGGATGAGATTGTAGGGAACATTTATTTCTTAATTATCCTCATTTATTTCTTAATTACCTTCATCTCCCAAGCATCCTATGATGCATGTCATCGTGGTTACATGCTTGCTACTGTCATTTTCTGTTTATTGACTGGGTGGCTTTTTTCCCAGAATGGAAACACTACTTCCACTTGTACAGAGTTTGAAAAAACGGATGGAAGTGCCAGACTATGAGATGGTAACTATCATAATTAAACTATAACTTCATGGGCATTGGAGGGTGGGGGGCGACTTGAACTTAAGAATTCTTCCCTCTCTTTCAGCTTTTTCACTCAAGGCTGGTGCTCTACCACCTCCACTCCTGGATTTTTTCGGGTTAATTGGACATAAGAGTTTTATACACTTCTTTTACTCAGACTAGCTTCATGCTCAGTCCTCAGATCTCGGCCTATTGAGTAGCTAGAATTATAGGTGTGAGCCACTACCACCTAGGCTTAAAATTGACCCTTTATAAAGGCAAATTTCTGGGTTAAAATAGGTACTTTTTGTTAAGATGGTTTGCCTTTTTAGTGCCTGAATGAATCATGAAGAAAAAACATAACAAAAAAAAACATTGAAGAAACCCAAAATGCTGGAAAAGTTTTCTCAGAAAAAATATTTTTTTCTCCTATTTTCTATATGAAGCAAAAATACTGTGTATTTTTTGTTACTGATGATTTCATGATCAGGTCTTATTTCACCAACGAAGAGTTAAGTCCAAACATCTCTGATTATAAAAACCAAAAGATAAAATGAAAGGAGAGAGCCACAGCTTGAATATTACACTGTATATACTAGCTGTGGTGTACATGCTGTGTCCAAAGGTATATTTAATCATAACTTTTTCTTTCATTTTACAATTTTTGAAATTATAATCAGTATTTGACATGAAAAAAAAAACTGGAGCTTAAAAAGTTCAAATGAGGGGCTGGAAAGTTGGCTCAGTGGTAGAGTGCTTGCCTTGCATGAATGAGGCCCTGTGTTCGATTCCTCCATACCACATAAGCAGAAAAGGCCGGAAGTGGCATTATGGCTCAAGTGGTAGAGTGCTAGCCTTGAGCTGAAGAACTAAGGGACAGTGCCCAGGACCAGAGTTCAGGGCCCACAACCAGCCAAAAAAAAAAAAAAAAGAAAGTTCAAATGAAAGCCAGGCATAGTGGTACTCACTTTGGGAGGTAGCGATAAGGATAAGGAGGTGTGGGATTCAACCTGGCAGTAGGGGGAGATAACAAAACCATCATCGGCATTATAGCGGATGTCATAATCCCAGCTAGGAAGGGCAGTCCAGGGGAAGCCTTAGAAAAAATTCAGCCCCTACCTTTAAAAAAAAAAAAAAATGAAGAAAGGACTGAGAGAATATACTTCCCTGCCTAGCAAGTGTAAGTCCTGAGCTCAAATGCCAACACCACCAGTCATAAAAGCACAAAAGTTCAAGGAATTCTTTCTTAGAATTCATTCCAGATCTGAGTCTTCCAAGTGTCTATTTATTAGACTGCTGCTCTGCTTTAATCCTGTAATTGTTTTCATGTTTACTGCAGTTTTGTGGAATATAGTGAAACCACTATATTTGAGCTGATGTTAAGAACTAAAAACAATATTTTTCGGTCATTGGGCTTGAACTCAGGGGCTGGGCACTGTCAGTGAGCTTTTTTTGCTCAAGGCAAGCACTCTACCACTTGAGCCATAGCTCCACTTCCAGTTTTCTGGTGGTTAATTGAAAATGGGAGTCTCATGGATTTTCCGCAGATCTCAATCTCCTGAGTAGCTAGGATTGCAGGTGTGAGAAAAACAGTGCCTAGCCAAGGACTAAATCTTTGACTTATTTTAAAAAATGAAACAAAACAAAATATAGTGCTGGGAATGTGGCTCAGTGCTTGCCTTGCATGCATGAGGCCCTGGGTTCAATTCCTCAGCACCACATAAGCAGAAAAAGCCGCAAGTGGTGCTGTGGCTCAAGTGGTAGAGCGCTAGCCTTGAGCTGAAGAGCTGAGGGACAGTGCCCAGGCCCAGAGTTCAGGCCCCATGACCGACCAGAAAAAAATACCAGCAAAAGAATATCATGGTTAACCCTGAATCAGCACAAGGCTTACTCCTTTTTTTTTAATGGTACTGTTAAGAATAATAAAGTTGGGGGCTGGGAAGGTGGCTCAGTGGTAGAGCGCTTGCCTTGCATGCATGAAGCCCTAGGTTCGATTCCCCAGCACCACATAAGCAAAAAGAAAAAAACGCCGGAAGTGGCGCAAGCGCTAGCCTTGAGCAGAAGAGCTGAGAGACAGTGCCCAGGCCCAGAGTTCAGGCCCACGATCAGACCCAAAAAAAAAGAATAATAAAGTTACATTGGGGGGAGAAGGGGATAGGAAGGGATGGGAAGGGGAAACAAATAAGGAGGCTACAATGCTTGATAAAAAATGTACTCATTATCTTGTCCATGTAATTGTAACCCCTCTGTACAGTATTTTCACAATAAAATAAAAATAAATTTTTAAAAATAATAATAAAGGTACAGTTTAGATCTTGCCTGGAAGATCTAGCAAGGTGGTAGGGAAAGGAAACAAAAAAAGAAAAGTTAGAAGACAGGGTTTCAAAATGCTTTGAGACAATGAATTGTATCTTCAGGCTGGTGTGCCTTCATTGTTACATTGTGTCTGGATTTGTTGGGGAGAGGGAGACTCTGGTATCTGGGGAGAAGAAATGGTAGGGCTCAGTCACAGATTATGTATCTGGATGCATACTTGCTACAATGTCAGATCATTGAATTATTTGATCATTTTAGTGGAAAAGAAAATGCAGAATCTGGGCTACGAATATGACTCAAGTGGTAGAGCCTAGCAGACACGGAGAGTGCAAGTTCAAACCCCAGCACCACCACCACCCTCTCCCAAAATGAAGAACTCACCACTTTAATATGTTGACAGATAGTTGCTAATTAAATCTTTGGTGTGTATCCAAAGCAAGTCATAAAATATAGTATGTTTCTGTGTATTATATACTTAAGCCAAAACTATGATATATTAGAGTTCTGGTCATTAAAACATTAAATCCAAAGTTGCAAAAAGCATCCTGTGAGCTACTTCTAGCGTTCAGAAAGATTTACTTTAGTGCTAACACTAGAACACCATTCATTTACATGTAAAATGTACGGAAATACCAAGAAGTAGTGTATGGTTATACACAAAGTAGTACATAACACAAAATAAACACCACATTAAATAAGGCAGGAAGAAAACTCAATTCTTGGTCTGGGAATGTGGCTTAGTGGTAGAGTCCTTGCCTAGCATGCATCAAGCCCTGGGTTCAATTCCTCAGTACCACATACCAGAAAAAGCCAGAAGTGGTGCTGTGGCTCAAGTGGTAGAGCCCTAGCCTTGAGCAAAAAGAAGCTCAGGGAGAGTGCCCAGACCCTGAGTTCAAGTCCCAGGACTGGCCAAAAAAAAAAAGAAAAGAAAACTCTATTCTTTCTTTTTGGTGTCAGTACTAGGGCTTGGACTCAGGGCCCCACATTTGCTCAGCTTGCTCACTAGTGACTGGTACCCTACTATTGGTACCATGCCTCTGGTCCAGCATTTTTCTGGTTGAAGTAGATGGAGTCTCATGAATTTCTCTGCTCCAACAGGTTTCATATTGATATTCTCTGATCTCAGCCTACTGAGTAAGCTAAGACTGCTGGTGTGAGCCACTAGCACTTTTCTTACTACATTCTGAAAACTTTGAATATAGTACTAAGTGCATTCATTAAGTAAATAAAATAACGTGATAAAAAGATTAAAATTGCCAGGCACTGGTGGCTCATGCCTGCACTCCTAGCTACTCAGGAGGCTGAGACCTGAGGATTACAGTTCAGAGCCAGCCCAGGCAGGAAAGTCTGTGAGACTGTTATCTCCAATAAACAACCAGAAGCAGCACTGTGGCTCAAGTAGTAGAGTGCTAGTCTTGAGTTGAAGAGCTGAGGGACAGTGCCCAAGCCCAGAGTTCAAGCCCCATGACCAACAAAAAAAAAAAGATTAAAATGACTATGTTATTATATAGTTTTATATCACCTTTTTAAACCTAGGGAAGTCTGTAATTAGGTAGACAGATAGAGCTAAGGGGTATAACTCAAGAAGCAGAGCACCAGGCCCTAGCAGAGGACAGAAGCTAATGAATCCCTAATTATAAAATAAAGAAGTAGTAAAAACATCTCCTAGGAAAGGCATCAGGCCCAGACAATACATAGGCCGATGCTACTAAGATGTTAGAGAACAGATAATACCTGCAACTTAGATACTTTCAAGGAAAAAAAAAATCCAGAAACAAACAAAAAAAAAAGAATAACTTAAAAAACTTCTCAGAATAGAGTCAATGTTGTTTTTGTTCTTTTCAGGTTCACCAAGCTGGTCTAACCTGCGATTACTCAGAACTTCCTCACCACATCAGCACTGAACAAGAAATCGAGTGTCTTGTTCAATCTGTCTATCACCTACTGAAAGATCTACCCAAGCCTACCCTTGTGACGATCGCAAGGTAAGCAGGGCAGACCACATCATGTCCTCATCTCTGCAGCCTGGAATATGTCACCGCGTGGAGCAAAAGCATTCATGGTATGATTAACTCAAAGGTGCTGAGCAGTGTTATGTTGGATTGTTAGGGGGGATTCAGCATTATCACAAGAGTCCTATAGGAGGGAGGCAAGAAGTCAGAGAGCTTGGAAGACTGGAAGCCTGGCTCTGAAGGAGGATGGGGCCACATGATGAGGAAAGCAGGCAGCCTCTAGAAACGAGAAAAGGCCGGACCACAGGCTCTCCCCTGTAGAATATTTTACAGTGACCAGTGCACACAGATGTCTGTGTGTTGCATTGGCCAGGTGCCACAAATGGCAATGCTGATGACAGGATTTTTCTAGCTGAACAACCTCTTAGTAAAGATCTCAATTTGAGATCCACTCTTACCTTAATTCACAGAGTAGTTAGACATCTGGAAAATATAGTTCCTATCTAATCCGTTTCCTGAGGGGAGAGAGTGGTTGGTTGGTTGGTTAGTTTTTGTTTTTGTCAGTCAAGGGGCCTACACTCTGGCCCTAGGTGCTATCCCTCAGCTCTTCAGCTCAAGGCTAGCACTCTACCACTTGAGCCACCGAGCCACTTCAGGCTTTTTCTGCTTATGTGGTGCTGAGAAATCGAACCCAGGGCCTTATGCGTGCAAGGCCAGCACTCTACCACTAAGCCACCTTCCCAGCCCCTAGTTTTTGTTTTTATGTAGGTCCTAGAGCTTAAACTCAGGGCCTGGGCTCTGTCGTTGAGCCTTTTTCCTCAAGGCTAGTGCTCCACCAATTGAGCCACCACTCCACTTTGGGCTAGTTAATTAGAGATAAGCATCTCATCAACTTTCCTGCCTAGGCTGACTTTGAACTACAGATCCTCAAATCTCAGCTTCCTGAGTAGCTAAGATTACAGATTACTGTTTATTTAATCCATTTTTTAAAAAAAAACACTTTACATGTATGTTAGACAGACAAAATTAAAACCCAAATCAGGCATAGTAGTGCAAACCTGTAATCCTCACACTTGGGAGGCGACATTAGAAGAGTCAAGAGTTTGAGGTCAGCCGGTGTTACACATAGTGAGTCTCTATCTCAGAGAACAAAAGAAAGAATGTTTAAACTAGTTTCTAATGTGAATGAGTGCTCAGGACTTTAGAAAGTATAAAGGACACAGGGTAGTTATGTTGCAGGATATGGGGCAGTGTCAATCATCCAGTAGCCCAACCTCTCCTCTTCCCCCCCCCACCCCCTGCCCACCGGCAATGGGAGCAGCATCACCCCAGTCCTGACAATCAAAATGTACCTCCAAATTTCCAAAACGCTGTCTTAGGGGTAGTATCAATGGCTAGTCTAACAATGCTTAAAAGAAATCAGACATCTGTTGGGAAGCATTGAGGTATACCTGTTTGTTAAAGCTTACTTCCCTAATCTTCTACTAATGGACCTTTGAGTAGATCTTTATATGTATGTATATGTTAGTATTTCATCATTTAATATGCTCCTATCATTTTTTTTACTGTGTCTGAAAGTAACCTGGTCATGAGTTTGTCAGAGGCTTTACAGATTACTGTAGATCTAAAATACTTACACAAAGGAGTCTGCAGCTAATTCCACTTGCTTCAAAAAAGATTGCTATGTCACTTTCCTTGATCCATCCTCTTAATGGAGTTTTGCACCCCAATCCAGACTGATACCAGTCAGTTCACATCTTAATCTAGCTATAATTAGCAGGAGACGTTCAGTTAGCAGTGTAACTCAAGTTCTCCTTGGTGAGTTCTCAAAATCTGTGCCCCACTCCACATGGCACCTTTCTCAGGTGCCATTCCCAACCCCAGGGCATGCCCACATTTCATTCAAGTAATAAGCCCTGTTTTCCCAAGTGACATCCCCTTCCAGGGGAGGTGTAGCCTGTAGGAACACTGTGGCTTACGTCACAGAATTCCACCCCAATCCCAAGCATTTACAAGGTGTTTGACCTTGCGAGGGTTAATCTTTCTTGGCTTTAGATTCCTTTAATAGTCATTCTCTCTTATATTAGTTTATCTTTTGTTTCTCTGTGACCCAATAACAAAGAAGCAACTTAAAGGATTTATTTAGTTTCAGAAGATTTGGTGGCCCCCAGAGGGGGACCAAGAAAAGATACAGCCCCCAAGGACATACACCTCAGTGAGCTACTTCCTGCTCTAGGTCCTACCTCCTTCCTTTACCACCTCCTGCTGCGGTCACTTGCAGAACCCATCCAGGGATCAGATCAGCCACTCTTTAGACTTGCACTCCCAGCTGTCGTCTCTGGGGGAGCCCTTACAGACAAACCTTATTAGTCTTCTAGGCACTTCTTCATTCATTCAAGTTGGAAATCAAAGTTAACCTGGCCTTCCTGTTTTATAGCATTGCCAAGAACATGAAAGAACATAATTCATGTAATGCACTGGACTGAGAGATATAACTGTCTTTTCTATCAATGTGGGTTGCTTGAAGATTCTTTGGCTTGATGGCTAGACTCAGGTTGATGAATCTGCTAAGACATTGTCCACAAGTAGGAAAGGAAAGAAGAACTGCTTTGGATAAGGAAGGATTTTTGAAATGTAAGGTGTTTGTGTCAATTGGTTTTTCCAAGTAGGAATTAAGACACACATCAGAAACACACCTTTGATTGTTTAAGAAATAGCAGAGGGTATGGGTATGTTTTGAGATAACTTGTTAATCTTATTTGGAAATCTTTCAATGGTTGGTCACTGTAAATACATCTTACCCTATTCAAACTAGCCAATCGAGAGCAGATGGTGAACTGAGTTCAACCAATCTGAGCAGAGGGGTGGGGCCTGCTGCTTAGGGAAAAGTAAGAGAGCAAAGGGCCTATTCTTGCTTGCTAGATTTTTGGCTGATGGCACACTCTTCTGCAGAAGTAAGTTCTTCCTTGCTGGGACAATTCTTTTTGTGTCTATCACTGTGACTGGTGATCCTTAGAGAACACATTTATAACACTGACATACGGTTAACATTTTTTAGAAATGTTTTCATATTCCTGGTGAATTCATACACCTCCATTCCTGTTCCACATTGAACGCAGCACATGTGGATCTTTCCTCCGCACGGATGGTTTTATCTATTTATGTGTAGTTTTCCCCTCTCTCTCTCCTTGGTTCCAGGTCAAGTCTGGATGAGTACTGTCCTTCGGAACAAGTTGACAGCATCCAGGAGAAGGTCCTTGGCATGCTGCGCTCCCTCTATGGGACTCTGGACACTCATCTGGTATACTTGGCAGAGTCTGCGCCATCTTGAAACGTCCAGAACTCTAGCTTCCATTTTAGTTATATAAAGTAACGGGGTGTTCATTGTTGCAAATGAGTCTTCCAGAGAACACTTTTTACTATAACTTTCGGTTGAAATCTTTCAGCTACTTTGAACCTCTAAACAAATATTATCAGTGTTTGAATGATGGCAGGTTTCTTCGGTGAGGGGAAAGGGGATTACTACTGCCCCAATTAATGGAAATATTCCTTATCTATCATCCTCTTTCTTTTTGTAAGAGTTATTTTTCCTCTTCCCCACCTCCTAGGCAAAATGGACTTAATGAGATGTATTTATTTATTTGTTTGTTCAACTCGTGGATATTTTATTAAGAACTACCTATACTAAGGAACAGAATACACAAGCCCCCGGCCCTGACGGGGAGGCAGATGAGAAGGAAATCATGGGCTGTTAGCAGTATTGCAAAGGAGGAAAAGACAACCATAAATATGTCTTAGGTTCTTAGAGGCATCATAGGAAAGGAAAGTTCTCAAAAGCTAGTGCCAAAAAAACAAAACCTTACCAATCCATGAAAATAATAGAGGGAGTCTGCATCCCCCCCAGAGCTATTGGGATTATGGTCTGTTAGCACTTACGGTCCAGCATGGTGTTTATTAAACAGGCTCACTGAGCAGACTTGGCCATACAAGACTTCCCTTCTTTTGTGTTTTCTCTTTTTAACTAATCAGGGGTCTGTGCCTCTAGGGGTCATTGTAGACATCAGTTGTCACACTAGCTTCTGCATGCCGTTTTGTGGCAGTCCAGGTTGACAGTTTTTCTCAGATAAAGCGATTTTTTTTTTATGAAAAAGTAGGTTAAAAAGTTACACTTCTAATTCTGGCCTGCCATACACACCCAAGCTCCTTCCTAATGTAACTGAAAACAGCCATTGACTTCTTGGTGAGTCTGAACCAAATAAGCCCAGCTGTGAGGTCAAAGAAGGGAATGGTTCCCAAAACAACGTCTATTCCCAAATAAAAGAAAGTAAGGGAATTTCATTGAGGAGACTCAGACATATTTATCACATAGAGGTGGGCACATTTCAGCATGTGTGCACATGAGATCATGCTTCATACATTGCATGTCGCATGTTTGAAAATGGTCAAAAGGCTGTCTCTGAGCATGTCACTGTGGATCACCTCGAGCAGTGGTTGGGTGATTCATTCAGGCTGGTTTGAAGTTGATCCTTGTGGTTAGGGCTGGAGGAACAGCTGTCTGGAAAAAAAAAAAAAGCCATTTGAAAGGATGTAGCAGTGTTCCCTTTCTTACAAACAAAGGTAATAACCCTGTGAGGGCCTATATCAGCTCACTAAAGTCAGACCCTCTTCCTAAGATTACATAAAATAAAATAAAACAGTGTCTCAAATTGAGATCTTCCCACCTCAGCCTCCTAATGTTTGGATTACACCCAGTGCCACCATATCAGGCTTCTGAGCTAGTCCTAATATTAGGAATTAAGTGAAGGTTTCCGCTCTTCACTATGCCTTTTGTTTAAAAATCATCATTTTAAACTATCTACTTTATTTCTTTACTTTTAAAAGATAAAATGGCCTAGAAGGAAAAAAAGAACATACCTAGTGGTCTTCAGCCTTCACATAGCTTCATTTATTGCAGGTAACTTTCAGGCCTCTTCCACATGACTACCTGCAGATTTGCATGTTGCTAAAATCAGTGTCACCCAGCTGCTATTCTAGGACAAGGTACCATTGCCACTCAGATAATAGAGCTTCCACTTTTCCAATGATTCTATTGGCCAGTGAATTTTTGTTGTACAAACTTATTTCCACATGGAATAGTTTAAACACTTATTGATGTCATAAAAAGCCAAACTGCTTTAACTGTCCACTTGGATACAAAAAAGTGGTTTATGTTGCTGTAAAAATCACACTTGCAAAATTATACGATATTTTTTAAGGTTTGACATTTTTGTTAGGGTTCTATAAATATGCATTACTACTATGAATAAATTCTGTTTGGTGTTATATGAAATTAAAAGATGTATTTTGAGGTTTTAAATCAAACTAGCACTAATGGTATGTGTTCTTCTGTCACTGACTTTAAATCAAGTTTTATTTTACTTAATGATTCTTATGAACTCTGATGTGACTCATCCTTGTTTGAACTCAGGTTAAATAAAAGAGCATAGGATTCCTTTGCAAGAACCCTCTGATTGTCTCTGCGAAGAATGAAATTTACTTGTTGCTTGTTACATGAACCAAATTAGCAAACGATGTCTGTGTAGTAGGAAGACCCCTATTCAGGCAGGCAAGCTCACCTAGTCGTCCGGAGTGACAGCCCACCGCAACCAAGTTGTTAATAAAGAAGCAACTTTATTAAAAAGATTCCTACACTGATGGGCCAGAGCCGCAGCACAGGCTCGGGAGCTGATACTGCCACCCCGATCGGCCCCCATTCTTCAGTTTTTAAAGGCAAAATCCATGAGGTCAAGCCTGGTCACGTGCAGGTGACCAATGGGATCATAACACACAAAGGATTGTATGGTCATACCAGACCACACACAGGTGGCCAATAGGTGGAGTTTACCTTAAGCATGTACAAAAGACAGGGTTTACTGTAAGCACGTGGTGTCGCCAGTTGGAGCCAGATTTCAGCCTGTTTTATGAGTCAGTCTTTAACTCAACTATCAAGGTGGGTTAGGTTGTTTAGGGGAGGGAGACCTACAGGCATTCTTTCCATTCAGGAACTGGGATGGCTGGAGCCTAGGTCTAGTTAACCTTGTTTAAAGGTTTTTTGCTAAAATCCCTAAAACAAAGGCAAAGCCTGGAAAGAAGCTGTACCAACTTAAGTCTCCTCTCAGGGCCTACTTTATCTGTGTATCCCAAATAGGGAGATACTCAACCAAGACATCCTGCATTTGTGTCCTAAGTGCCAGTGAAAAAAATACATGTACAGGTATTGAAAAATGGAAACGTTAGACTTCTCAAAATTGAAAAAAAAAGAAATTGTTTTGGTCAGTGGTGGGCTTGCCCTTGGGCACTGTCCCTGAGCTCTTCTACTCAAGGCAAGCGCTCTACCACTTGAGCCAAAGCACCACTTCCAGGAGGTAAGAGTCTCCTGGACTTTCCTGCCCAAGGCTGGCTTTGAATGCAACCCTCAGATCTCAGCCTCCTGAATAGCTAGGATTACAGGCGTGAGCCACCAGCACTTGGCTCTTCAGAAGCTTTTATTCTTTTTTTTTTTTGGGGGGGTCCGGTTGTGGGGCCTGAACTCTGGGCCTGGACACTGTCCCTCAGCTCTTCAGCTTAAGGCTAGTGCTCTACCACTTGAGCCACAGCACCATTTCTGGCTTTTTTTTGCTTATGTGGTGCTGAGGAATCGAACCCAGGGCCTCAGGCATGCAAGGCAAGCACTCTACCACTGGGCCACCTTCCCAGCCCCCAGAAGCTTTTATTCTTAAATAGCTTTGAGCACAATTCTAACAGTAGTTTGAAAATGAAGCCATTTACAAAACAAGCATATAAACAAGGAAGACCATTATTTGTACGCTTTCTATATTACTGGGCAATATATGGACTTGTATCTGCCTATGTCAACTTGATTTTTTTTTTTGTCAGTGGTGGGGCTCTGTCCCTGAGCTCTTCAGCTTAAGGCAAGCACTCTGCCACTTGAGCCACAGCGCTACTTCCAGTTTTCTGGTGGTTTATTGGAGATAAGAGTCTCACAGACTTTCCTGCCCAGGCTGGCTTTGAACCATGATCATCAGTTGTCAGTCTTCTGAGTAGTGAGGGTTACAGGCGTGAGCCACCAGCACCCGGCTAACTTGAAATAATTTAAAGAGTATTATTTTTTTTTACATTTAACTGGCTTCCCAGCTGAAATGGGTAAAAATCTACTTTCAGGATTTTTCAATGCTTGGTAAATTTTTTGAGATATGGGCAAAAGAAAGATTTTTTTTATATATGTTCATCCTTTCCAAGTGACAAATAACAGCTGAGGAGCATTTTGATTTAATGCCTACCATTTGGCTGAAATATAGCATATTTTCTCCAGGAAAAAAGTATGAATAGCTTTTCTGGTAAGAATAATGTCTTTCTCCCCAAAGCTGCCCTTCATCCTCTTCTCCAAAACTTGAGAATAGGCAATGTCACAGAGCACAAGGGTGAGGAGGGGGTCCGGGGTCATGTGGTAACGTTCAGGTGTAAACAGAGGGCTTTGAAAGGGAAAGGATGGGGGGTGTCAGGGAGATTCGTGACAGGGGCACCCCATCAGCATGCGGACTGAAGACAGGCAGGGAGGGAAGGGCCACAAGGCAAAGAATGTGAACCACCTCTGTTGGTACAAAAATCAAAGAACCTTTCTCCTCTGGGGCCTCCAGAGAGAACCTAACCCTGTCTGGGATCAGCCCATTGACATCCATTGGGAAAGACGACCCTCAGATTCTAAAGTAATGTTTGTGTTGCTGCTAAGCCCCCGTGCGTGTGGTCATTTATTAGAGCAATCTCAAGGCTCAGTAAATGACACTCCACAGGACCACATTTGGCCCTGGCTGAGCACTTTGAACTAGGAAATTGGAGGCCTAAAGCTGCCTCAGAACCAAGGTATCAGAAATCTTTCTTCCCTAGTTTCCCACCCACAGTGCAGAGAGAGGCTGTGCTCAGAGATTCCCTTATCTACCTAAAGATAGGACTAGCCAAGGAAATACAATTGCTTTCAATCCTTTTACGGAAATTAGATTAGGCGAGGAAGATTAAAGTCATCAGAGGAAGAGACTGAAAATCAATCACTGCATCTGCAGCCCCGTGTACTCTGTCTCAGGCCACAGTATGTGTCCTGACCTATTCATTTCTTCTAAAACCATTTCCTGCCCCCTAAAGATTGCCTCCACTTCCCTCCCCGCTTTCTCTCTCTACCTTGAAGCTCTGTGTAAGTTTGTGAATCTCATTGGGTTATTGGATAGTCACCTTCCTGATGTTCCCAGGCACATAAGCAAACCTACTGTTTTTTTCTCAATTCTGCCTATTGACAATTTATTTCAGAATTTAAAGACTTCAGAGAAGGAGGTGAAATTCCTGCTCTTCCCTACCTAAAACAGAAATCTTTGGTGTTGAATCCCATGTAATTCCACAGTTTAGACACTAAGTGGGGATAGAATACTAGATATAGCAAAGGAGTAGTTTCAGTGTCAGGTCAATGACTCTCAAGATTCTTCTAATGGATTTTTAATCATCCCATTACATTTGGATTTTAACACTTTCTTTAATATTGTTGGCCTGTCATTTAAATTAGCTTTGATAAGTTTTGTTTTATTTTGGCTTATTTTATGTCTGTGTGTATGCTTGGGATAAGAAACCAGCCCTTGCTAAGAAAACACTCTTACTACTTAGCTACAATCCTAGGCCTTGTTTGTTTGTCTTGATATAGAACCTCACAGGCTGGCTTTCCGGTGTTCATCTTCCTGCCTCAGCCCCCTTAGTGTTGATAGACATGGGACTACCACCGGGCCTGGCTAGCCTTCATGAATATTGAAGTTAATTTTCTGATAATGACTTTTTTCTTTTCTGATACTAGGGCTTGCATTCTTTTTTGGGGTTTTTTTTTTGCCAGTCCTGGGGCTTGAACTCAGGCCCTGGACTCTGTCCCTGAGCCTCTCTGTGTTCAAGGCTAATACTCTACCACTTGAGCCACAGCATCACTTCTGGCTTTTTCTATTTATATGGTACTGAGGAATCAAACCCAGGGCTTCATGCATGCTAGACAATCATTCTACTACTTAGCCACATTCCCAGCCCCAGGGCCTTGCAATGTTGCTTAACTTTTTCATTCAAGGCTAGTGCTCTACTGCTTGATCCACACCTCCACATCAGTTTTTTTCTGGTTCATTGGAGATAAGAGT